AGTGGATGCCCAGTCGATAGGACTAAGATCCTTTTTCATCTGTTCGAAATCGCCGCGCCAAATATTGGGTCGGGAATCGAGCGGTTGTGCAGGAAGGGAGAATAATGTGTATTCCCACATGAGAACTACATGGTCACTCTGACCCAACGGGGGGAGGCAATTCACAACGTCGATGTTGTCAGACGACTTGGTGAACACAAGATCGAGGCAGTTCATCTGTTGGCCCTCTCGAACTCTAGTTGGAAACATTACGTGTTGTGTAAGAAGCAGGTTGTCGGAGGTACGCAGTAGCTGCTGGTCAAATGCTGCTTCAGAGCAGTCGGCTGAGGCCGAGCTCCAGTCGATGTGAGGTGCATTAAAATCTCCAACGATGAGAGTGGTCGGCCGCGTTGCAAATAATCTGAGCTCCTCCAGCAGTTGGGCATCAGCGTCAGGGTCATTTCTCGGGGGACGATATACTGTCAAGATATCGAGACTTTGAGAGCCCGGTGCCCTTATGGTCAGCCATAATGCTTCGGTACTACAAGTCAGTTGGGCAGTTTTTTCTGAAGCGTGCAAGCCGTTCTTAACAAATGTTATTATGCCTCCACCCCTTCTGTTTTCTCTGTCTCGGCGGAACAGTTGAAATCCAGGGAGCATGAGCTCTCTATCATCAACCTGTTTGGACAACCATGTTTCTGTTATTGAGATAACATCTGGATGGAGGTCGTAGGTATGGATACGGAGTTCGTCCAGTTTAGAAAGTACACTTTGCGCGTTGGTATACATGAATATGAGTTTCGAGTTCATGCGAGATTTGTTTTCAAACCCGACACGGGCTACTGGGGTAGCTGTGCAGTCATTCGGATCGGCTTGAACCAGAGGGGAGCGGAATGTCGTTTGACAATCCGGTCTTTGTAGATTGTCAAGTTTTTCTCTCCGTAGTAGTAGTAGTAGTAGTAGTAGTAGTAGTAGTCAAGTTTTTCTCTCCGTAGTAGTAGTAGTAGTAGTAGTAGTAGTAGTAGTAGTAGTAGTAGTAGTAGTAGTAGTAGTAGTAGTAGTAGTAGTAGTAGTAGTAGTAGTAGTAGTAGTAGTAGTAGTAATACTCCGCCTCCTTCCTCTTAGATGGCGGGTGGAGGGCCTTGTAAATCAGCTAGTACCGGGCGGAAGCTTACTGATCCAGAGATGACTGGGAGGGGATTGAAAGCATAGGGCAGTGGCCTGCCATCCGACATACTCTTGAAACCGCAGAACGGAGGTATTTTGTGAAGGCAAGAGTCGCCAGTATTGCTGGGTATGGCTCACAGCTTCTCTCTCTTGACCCATTTACTGCCTAGCTTGATGTGAAAATTTAAATTGATTTTAACTCACGCCCTTCCAGAGTTTAACCCCCTCCGTACGTTAGAATGTGAGGATGCTTGAGGTTGCGAGGCTAAGTTGCATGTGATAGGGACCTGAAGTTGTCTACGGACCCGTTGAATTGGGGATAAGTGAATGAGAAAATGAGTACGACGCAGTATAGTTACTGGAACCCAGTGCCAAGAAAACATGCCAAACAACAGTGAAGTGGGTCGGAAAGTGAACCACCTAGGGTGGCCGCAAGTTTACGTTTATTCTATTGACACCGGCTGTCTTTCTGTGTATCCAGCGGAGTCTGATCGGTTTTTAAAAATCACAGGGTAGCATTATGACGTTAGCCGCAATGCTTATAGCAGTACTCGTGGGCTGATCACCCCTATCGATTACGCACTGCCCCATGCATGAATCTCAGCAGCTGATAAAATCAGCCAGTTGGACGCGTGCGACAGATTATCCAGTGCAAGTGCCCAGGTGATAATCAAATACTGTGTACGCGAAATCATACGAAAGGGAATTCAACCTGATCTTTAGCTTGGCTAAAAGAGGCAGACGACTTCAAGAATGTTCCATCTTTATCTGAGTATGCGCCACTAACAGAGCAGACCTTCTTGTACAATAGGAAATTGGGTGCGTTTTCCTAACTTGTAAGCCAAGATGGTTGCGGGTGCCGACCACGCAGTTAAAAGTACAGGAAATTGGGAAAGATTCCGTTCTGAGAGAGTTCAGCTCATGTTTTTACGGAACCGTTTCGAATTTCGGATTTTCAGAGTTTTCGAAATAGTAACCGTCCGTTTCGTCAAGAGGATACCTTTCGTCGAAAGTAACTGCGTGCGAATCGCATACTGCCTAAACTTTGCGAGAATCCGCATGGAAGTGTAGAGATTCCTCAATTCCTTCTGTGTGCCAGGGTAAATCTTCACCAGAAACGTAATAGGTCGCAGTTCGAACCTGACCAGCGTTCACATTGTTCCCAGTCAATTTTGGTTCTGATGGAGAATTTCGCTAATTCTCAGGGAACGATGTTCTAGGGATGACCTCCTACCAACGGCCGAATCGTTCTTTGATTTTTATTAAGACGGCATTCCTCCCCCACCGCTTCATTATTCATAGGGCATTTTTCCAGACAGGATCTGAACTCGACAACTGTCATCAGCCTACTTGCTTTTTACAACCTGATTGCACCTGGTAGACGCCAACTACCCACTGTCTACATCAAACTTTGCTGCCCGCTGGACCGATAATCCCGCTTTTTTTCACGAACCTTCGTCCTTCTTTAGTAGATGGAGCGCAGCGTCGAGGTAACCGAGAATGTTCACAAAGTTTTATGGAATTACTGCTGTCGGACACCTACTCTTTCCATCTAATCCATGTTTCGTTGTCCAAACAACACATGAGTTGTAACCTTTTGGAATTTCTTCGAAGTCCTTATGGCCGGACGCAGTTAGAATGAGTAATTGGCCTGTCAAACTGCAGTCAGTTATTTATAGCCTTCCGGTGCCCCATATGGAATGCGTATGTGCGAGCCCGACGCCATCCAGGGAACTGTATTGGGCAGAATTAGAAGGGGGGAGAAGTGACGCATTGTATTTCGAGAGTACAACAAAGGAGGCTGATTCAGTCTACCGTATTTCTCTCCCCCATGTTAAGGCAACAGTCAATTACCGCACTTGCCAGCGAGGTTCCTGAGCAACACAGGCTAGTTTGCGTCACCTAAGTAACAATTCGACCGTCGCAAGTGATCATGTACACCTCTGCCCCAGGAGGTCGTATCAGGAACGGTGGATTACGCGTGAACTTGCTTAAAGCGAATCAGAATCTCGCTGCGCAAACCTCGCCTACCAAACTCAGCATGCGTTGGTGACAGGACAACGTCGAGACAACTGAAGGTGATCATGTGACAGTGTCTGACTGAGCTAACCACATACCTACGCCTGCCATACACGACCTGGTTCCTACTACGCATGCAGCCGGCTAAATTTGCGAGACCCCGATCTGGCCTACGTGAAAGTCAGATCGAGAAGCAGCAATTTCGGCCAGATCTTCAGTCTTGAAAGGGACCGAGTTAGCACATCAGTTGGCAACCTCCCAGGCCCGTAATTTTGACGCGCCGTGATAGATTCGAAAACATCGGATTTGTTATTATGAGGGGAGGCACTAATTTGTAGCCATATACATTCCCTAGTAACGGCCACACGCTGACCTCTCTCATATACCGAAAATCTGTCTGAGTTACGCCGACGGGATTATAAGCTTGGGCACGTTGTCTGACAAAAATAAACAGCCCGCCTAGACGTACCACAGTAGTACATGTGAACCAGGCCATAATCAATTGTACGCTTCTCACGTGAGTGAGATGTGCGCGTTATTACATGCGACGTTGGTATATATCGACGCATGCATTTAACATGATTTTTTTATTATGCGCTGTTGAAACACAGGTATAAAGAATGTTCAAGATGTGGAGTTTACTTGTAACCTAGGGGGTGTTTTTGTATGCTGGCAGGGAGAATTGTTGCGAACGGGCTAGCATTGCGTCTCCTTACCGAGTATTTTCATGGATGCGGGCACGGTCGAATGTCATCTGTGAGGATGGGTCGGTGAGACACGAGTGACGCAGGCATGTTGCAGCTTCTGACCCTGATATGCTGGTCGCAGTGCAGTGGATTCGTAGGTGGCTGACCGGGCCGATACAAGATTCGGGGAGCACGATCGCAGTTGGATCAGATTGAAAGTGAGTCCACATTGCTGGTGGAAGGTGCCATGGCGGCGATGACTAGCAGGATGGAAGGATGGTAATACTGGTGTTCATGGTGATGCTTGATGTTGCGGTGTTTTTTGTAGTGAAACGAGTTGGTCCCATCACTATGGCACTGGGTCCGCAGATGTTCGACGAGGTCAATTCGTGCACAGAATGTCTGTTGACATTGTGAAAACGACCGTAGGAGTTGCTAATTTGCGACACTTGATTCTTATGAATCGCCATCTCCATTTTGACCGCCGCCATCCGCTTGGCTTTGAAGACGGATAATTCAGCCTTTGCGACGGTACGACACGCCTGTCCACCTTGAACGGTGTCCTCCAAAATCTTACGATTGGATTGAAGGTCAGTGAGGTCCTCTAAGCGTGCCCCTATTAACGTTTTTGACCGCCTTGTCTGCAGCACCCATGACGACGTCGCAATATAACAGCTACTTGGGCAGACGTTTGCTATCCAGCCCTCACGACTTGGCCGCTACAACGCACCTGCATCTGCCCCTCAGTTTGAAACGAATGCTGACAACGTCGGTTCCTGCCAGGACTCCTGCGAGTGGGATTCTTTCCTGTCGCTTCACCTTCAATAGTCTGGATAGGCAAGTGGGGTGAAGGTGGTTTAGTTTCCCTGTTTGCCTTTCACACGCAGTCCAGGTCTGAGTCCCTCACAGGGGCGTAGTCAGGACAACAGTTCTTAAAATCCTCAGCCTGGTGCTGCAGAGGATGCTGCAGCGGCTGCAGACGGAATGCAAATATGGGCGCCTTCATTTCCCTAACTTTGTTTGTTGCGGAGCCGTATCTGCATTTTATTTCAAGATGGACCTCAGAAACAACGCCACTAGTTGTAGAGTTAGTGGTTCAGCGGTTACCGGATGCGATAGTTTCTCACCGCTTTATCTTGCTTCCAGTTATACTCAGATACCACTCCTTTCAGATCAGCTTAATGGGGAGTATTTTAGGGAGTCCAAACTGTGCAATGTCCGGCGTACCATTAGGAGCATCCCCATCCTTAAACTTCCAGTTTCTTCCGTTCACTTGCCTGTTCATCCGCATTCAAAAGCTGACTGAAAGAGTTGATTTAAATTTCATCGTAACATCCCCTTCCACTTTCTCAGAATCCCTATAATTTACATATAAAGTCGGGCGCATTGCCTCAGGTGCCATTCCTTTCGTAGTCTACTCGGCTCTAAGAGGCTTAGAAAAAAGCTATCGTGCGTATGCATGTGCATATCTGACTTACTCGTCTGCCATTAATGCTGTTCATAGTTCATCCGAATGCGGTTTCTCAACAGGATTTTCTTCAAGTTACCTGCTTATTTTTTTCTTTCCATACTTGATTTATCCACTCTGGCAGTCCGAGATGTGGTGAGTTTCAGGGTCCATTTTGTCCCCGCATCTCTTTTCGATTCACGCCGGTAATCTAAGATTGCCCAGAGACTGCCAAAACGTTACGTATGCTGACTACATGGATGTTGGTCATTTTATCAAAAAGGAGGCTGATCTAAAACTTCTTAAGGTGAGTTTAAGTGATGCATCAGCATGGCCGCCTGACAACGGTCTTCTTCTCAGTAGTCAGCAGTCAGTTCCATGCGACCACCTCCCACTCTTAAATCCTCTAGAATTCTCCCCAATGAGGTATTTTCTTTTCGATACCTGGGTGTTGTCCCATCTTCCAGTTTCCCCCTATTTGTTCATATCAACTCCACTTCTAACAAAATTCGCAATTTTTTGCTATATCTGACGCTTACGTTCCTACCATACCACTCTGTCATTAATCTGCCAGTGTATGGATGTTTACATCTTTTCTCATATCTTTTACTTTTCTCTTGTAATTCCTCCTCTTGTACTAAAGAAGATTATACTCGTTATAAGACATGCCCTTCAGTGTTCGTGTCTGCTGCAAGTGTGTCTTTTTCCCCTTATTTACAATTGTCGAAGAATTTGCCAATCAAATTTTTTATGATGTTTACCATCCCCTTCCAATCTGCACTAGTTACTGTGAGATCATTTTAGCCAGCCCGATATGGTTTCTCTCATATCCCCTACCGTACTTCGACGCATTAACCATCAGCTATATCATCCCTGACACGAGTTCTAGCGTGGAATGAGGCCGAAATCCGAAAAG